CCAGCCTCAGACATACCCGCTTGCTGAAGTCACTCAACACAGAGCTGCATGATCACATCATGAGAAAAGAAGTCCTACTCACATTCTCACCTCCATTTTCCCACTAGCAGAAAAAGTTCTCTTGGCACAGGAAGCATTTCAACTCACACCCACCCTAAACGAACGTGGGTGTCGATTCTACTGTTACTGCACCTTTACTCGGACAGGCCCGTCATCAGCTGGCTCTCCACACTCTGGCTTACAAGGCTAAGTGAGGGTCAGCCGCACATTACCTCAACCACCTCTGGTGCTAATCTGTCCACATGGGAGAGGAGCCACAGGGAGGCGAATTATAAAGGGCCTGTCAGTGGCAGAGCAGTGCAGCCAGTGACACTGAGGGGAAGCAGTGGCCTTCAGTCCATGTTTCCAGACCTCTCCCGAAGCAGCAGCAGAACAGCAGTGACATGGCCTTGTGAACGACTCCTCTTTGGGAGTGGGAGGGGGGGGGTAGCTATCAGGCAGCCTTGCTGTCATTAAGGTTGAGTGGTGGATCCTGCAAGGACGATGGTTATAGAGCAAAATGGATTCACCGCCTGCTCCATAAAAAGGCTTTGGTTCTGTGTCTGATCGCTGAGACTGACTCGAATGTTATGAAGCTTTGATCGTTGCCATGGTCATCAACATCCAAACCGGTATTGTATATGTATTTCAAAAAAAGCTAAAAAACTATGCATTCCATCACCCTAAAAATCCCAAATAACCCATGAAATAAGGAATAGTAATCCCACATTATTTATGATGCATTAACATGAATTATTATGAGTTATTCTCAGACATATAGCTGCTTGTCGTGTGTAGACGGTGTGTATGTCAGTGCAGGAGGAAAAGATCAAAAGACTGTCTCAACAAAGCCAGATATTTTATTTTATACATTTGCATAGGCTACCATATATTTTATATATTCACATTTTGTAAACATTTGTTTCAATAAACAATCTTTCATTAGACAATAATATTAAAAGAGGGGGGGCGAATACAATTAAATTCACAGGCTGCACTGGATGCTCCGCGCGTAAAGAGGCAGAGGTAGAGGGGGACTTAACTCTGACACAATCTGCCACGACAGAAAAAATAAATCAGTTTCTCTGACTGAACGGTGAGAGGCGACTGAGAGAGAAGAACTCTTCAGGTGTCACAGAGGTGTTCGTCTGTAGCCCTCCACAGGTCAACCACAGAGTTAGCAATGACAAAGGGAGCAGTGTAGAAGAAACTGGGCATTTGACATTGGCAGGAAATGAAATAATGTTCATCTGAAAGTATTCCCAACTAACAAACAAATCATTGGCCTGACATTCTGTGCACAACCTTAAAATAGCATTCGTTGCTCAGTGACTGCTTTGGGTGCAATCACACAATCTTCACATGTATTCAAATGAAACACAAATTTAAAGTATCGATCACTGGAGGAAAGTAGGTAACACCATGGCGATCGAGCCTTTGTCCCACTGATGAAATTATTGCAATATTTATATATATGCAGTTTTAAAAAGGGTGTACGCGGTGTCATTTCTGGAGACAAATGCTGTATTACACGTTTTCTCCATTGTATACACAAAATGCAACTGCACACAATTCTGAAAAATAGCATGTTAGGGTGGAATGACTTTTCACTCAAATTGAAATTCTAGAGAGCAGACGAAGAAAAGAAGTAATATACAGTATATTACCTCTCTGTGCTGAACTGCAGCCGTATCATTGAGAGTTTCAGCAGTATGACAGCTCTCAATCTCATGTTGGGCAGAGTTTTCCATGAGTGCATTCTAAACGCCAATATCGCAGGTGATCGTGTTCAGTAACTTGTGGGAAGCCACAATTGTGATTGCGATTACTATATGTTTAATCGTGCAGCCCTGCCTTCCACTTCTCAGCTAATTACAATCACATATTCATTACCACTGCCACATCGACACCAATACTAGCAACATTCCAGCCAATTAAAATCAATTATTCACCAAGAGTCCTGGAGGGTCAGGTTATGAATTACATTCCACTCTGAAGACGCGTTCACGGTACACGTATGTGTGCTGAAAATGTTGTCCCAGATTGGCCATCACCTTCTTGTCCATCTAATTTATAATCCAGGCATTTTATTTTTTCTAGTGCCGACCGCATTTCTGTAAAAAAAAATGTAAAAAAGTAATATTGCTTTTTTTTTTGAAGCCGCTCACATCAGCTCAGGTTCCTGTTGGCAGTGGCTTTCTTTATGTGAGAATGATTCTGCTTTGTGTTGCCCTTGACTGTCTTAATAATACAGCCCTGTAGAAATAAAATAGCACCTAACGTTGCCAGCGACAGGAAATCACTCCGATGCAACACATCTTTCATTAAAACATACTGCCAGGAACATACTAATGTTGTAGTTTCCCTGGGCCTTTAACCCATGATGAGCTCGTAGCTAATTGGACTCCTGATCTGAGAGAGAAAAGAGAACTGTGCCAGGGTGGAATGAAACCTGTCTATTGCTCTTTAAATCTGTTTTTTTTCTTTAATGCAGGTCCCCAAAGAGTAATGTCACAATGTGACATACTGACTTCCAAACATCATCAATGGCAATACAACATTCATTAGAGCTATTTGTGTGTGGCAAATGCAAGTTCCTATCATTTTAATATATTTGGTATTTGAGTTGTTTCTGACATTACAGCGTCGTCCAATTCCGGCGTGTCTACTCTTCTTATTGCTTCAATCAAATCAGAGGCCCCAGCCACCCACCTCTCAGCCGACCTAACCAGCTGCCCTTCCAGGCCTTTGCATCCCTGCCTCTTCAGGTGACGGGGGGGTTAGAGAGGCTCCTCACAGGCGAGGCAGTGGGTCCTCACAGCATCAGCCCCGGGGGTGCTCCAGCCGTGTATCAGTTAGCTGTCAAATGTGCAGACAATGCTATCATATACCAGCTCCACGGCCTCACTCCCACCCACAGAAGCTGGGAAGCCGAATGAGAATGGCGTCCTTTCATTTCTCTGCTGCTTTCAACACCGTCCAGCCCCTCCTGCTTGGGGAGAAGCTCAAAGCGGGCATGGGTTCCTTGATTACGGACAGGCAGCGGTTCATCTTCCTCCGGGGCAGTCTATTGGATACACTGAGGAGCAGCACGACTGTATTGTCAGCCTTTGAGCTCACTCTCTTAACACCTCTCCTTTTTAAGATTCACCTCAGGGTCATGGCAGCTCCACGAGTTATTTGAAGGCTCCTCTATTGTGCGGTGCATAGGTTAGGGCGAGGAAAGGAGAACGGCTGCCAAAAGAGTCCCGTTGGCCGCTCCAGGTGAAACTATTCGCAGCATCAGCGTGACAGAGGAGCAAGAGATGGATTTCTCCCCGAGTGTGGAGACTGAAATGTCTGGTTTCAGTGGATCCGACCGACTACTTAACAAGTTCCACTAATGAGTGGAGGCCAGTTCATAATTCTGACTCGAGTCATGATGAACACACTGTGGCTCTCTGAGGCTGCACAGAGTGGAGGGAGGAAGACGAGGACTAAACACAAGGACACCGACTTTCCACCCCCTCCGTGCTGAGCCGGTGCAGCTATGTTGCACGATCGCCTTCCACCTCATCTAACCATGGTGCAACGGCAAGCTGTTTAGCTGCCCCTCTGTGTCAGCAGTCATTAAACCGTGCAATTATTCTTGTCTAAATACCTCATATCTCAGCTGGCTTGGAGCCAGCTGAACTGCACTGACCGGCGCTGACTGCTTGAGGATAATGTGTAACTACATTACTGAGGAGTCACATTCCTATCCGTACAAATGTCTTCTTTTATAGCGCACGGTTTGTAAATCATACTTAAGTTAGCAGTCAATTAGCATCTGTAGCACCGTACAGATGTGTGCTACTGTTAAGCATATGTTGAAAACCATGGCTTCATGTTGATCCGGCCTTACCACTGTGCACACATCTTGATTCTTTACATTGTTGACATTTCCTGAATGTGATGCCTATTCTATTTTGCTCTTCATTGAGTCTCTTTACCCTTGCTTCTGATCAGTACAGTTCCCTCTTATTTTCTACTCCATTTAAACATAATAACGATTACTGGTAAGTCAGCCCTGGCATTGACCCACAGTCTCCCCCCAGCACTCAAAAACAAGCAGGTGGATGTAACAAGTGTATTACAGTCGAAGTATGTGATGGTTTATGTCTGTTCCTGATGGGGCATGTTTATACACTGTTAGACTGTGTGTCCGTACGTACGGTATGTATGGAGGTGATTGTGAAGTTGCAGCACCACACCTGGTCTATTCTTAATACCAGGAACTACAGCAAACCTACAGCACAGTTTACAAGAACAAATAAACAGGAATCACAGTGAGGAGAGAGAAGATAAGAAAATGTGATAAAAACACAGAGAAACACTGTGCAGGAATATTATGATAGAACTGGAAACTATTGCATATGATTTTATATATATATATATATATATATATATATATATATATATATATATATTCATAGGATTTTCATAGAAATAATATAGTGAATTGTCATTTATGCTACAATCTGATAGAACTAGACTCTATCCAGTCCCTCTAATTCATGAAGTGTGATGACAACAAACCAGCACTGACATTAAAAGTCATAATTGCATTTGTATCAATACGTGCACGACCTCTCCCAGTGCTGGATTTGAGTATCTCAGCTCCGTGCATCCAACAAGACCTGAAGCAACCGGATCAATAACATTCAAGGGCAATGAGCAAGAGAAGCTGAACACCGACTTCTGCACATTATGCAACTTCCACATGACGCGCGTGCAGTGGCCGCACTTCCATCAGCAGGTACGATTCATTTAAAAAACAAAACAAAGGTGCGCGTTGTTTCATCGATGACCTTTAGTAACTCCCGGTCCGTTGCACTTGATTAGCTGCTTGGCGCTCGCTGTAAAACAGAAGTCGAGCACCATTGCGCACGAGAGGAGATGATATTAGCGATGTGGTGATGAAATACAGTTAGGAGACTTACTTTAAGACGGCGCTGTCCCCCTGTCTCACGGTGATGTTGTCCTTTAATACAGAATCCCCGCTCCTGGCTGGAACTCCTGCAGGTACAAGGAATAACAATTTAAGTCCGAGGAGGACGAGGCATTTCCCCGGCACCGCCAAATAGCCACAAATCCCCATCATCTGCTGTCACTGCGCAACTTCCAGGAAAACTTGAAAACCGTCGGATATTCCGTTTTTGCGTCTCGAGCTGCGGATCGCGGGTTCCACTCCACAAACGAGATGCGATGTCGCCTTCTGGAGCTGCAGACGACCTGGTCGCGCTCCAAGTAAACAGGGCTTGTTACGAAACACTGTCCTTGTCGATGAACGCAGGAAGACAAAAGTGTCGCTCGAGGAAACTGACTTCGGAGGAGAGAAGAGCACCGCGTCTCTCAGAGAGAAATGCGCACCGTCTCCTCCGCGTCAAACTGCCGTGAAATGGATGCTCTCGGAGAGATGCATCAGCCAAGTCTTGTATGTTTCTCTCTCTCTCTCTCTCTCTCTCTCTCTCTCTCTCTCGGTGTTCTCTTTTTTTTCTGTCGTCCGGGTGAGACGGTGTGAAGCTCTAGTATGTAAACTCAATGAAAAAGGCTCATTTCATCGCTTTAGTATAATTTTCTTTCGTTAAGTAGGCTACAGCTCCTGAAGTATTCTCTCTCTCTCTCTCTCTCTCTCTCTCTCTCTCTCTCTCTCTC